GCAGGGCAGGGAAAGCAATTAAAAAGGAAGATTTTTAAATTATTAACATTTGGTGAATAATTCAGGCTCTCGGTGCCTCACTGCCCTCGGGGACAGTGCCTGCGTGAGGAGAGGAAGTCCTGCCCCCTCTCCCAGCACCCCCCCACCCACCTTCCAGCCACAACAGCCGCGCTCCCCAGACTGGGGGCTGGGGTCAGGGTGCAGCTGGGCCGGGTGCTGGGTGTGATCTCGCGATGCTGGGTGGGCCTCCCAAGCGTCCATGAGAGCTGGGAAGGACAGATGGCCAGGGCCATGCACGGGGAGGGACGGCGCCTCCTGCCGGGCTTTTGAGTACCAGTGAGGTCCTCCTGGATCCACAGGGACGTTCCTAAGGCTGCTGCTCCCCGTCTGGGGCCTCCCCCAGGCAGGCCTAGCGCCCCCTGGAGGAGGCCCTGACACCGTGGCACCCTCCAGCTGGAGGGGAGGCCGGCAGTGCAGACAGGGGCAGGACTGCCTGCATGGATGGCGGGGGCATGGGCCCCCACTCCCACTCAGGCTTACAGTGTGAAATGACAGTGTCTGCATCTGTGTGTGGGGGGGTGGCCCTGCTGGTGAGAGAGAGGGGTGGGGCCGCAGGGGACATGCAGGTGGGGGGTTGGGTGGGGGTGGGGGCCGCAGGGGACCTGTTGGTGGGGTCCTTCGGGCAGAGGGAGGAGAGTCATGCCTCTGCCCACCTCCAGGGAGCTTGCTTATGGGGCCCGAGGTCCAGGGCCTGGCCCTGCACCCAGCGCAGCCTTGTTGTCGGCAAAGTCCCCAGGGTTTCTTTTCAGGGCGAGTATCAGCCTCCAGGGGCAGGGAGAGCCCAGCACAGGTAGGTGGACACTTGGTAAGGGGCACTCACCATGGCTGGGGAGGCCCAGGTGGTAGAGACGCTGCGGGTCCTCGAAGGTGCCGGCCTCACTCAGTGCGGACATGAGCCGGCGGTAGTGATCCTCGGGGGCCATGCTGGGCCCCAGCTCTGACAGCAGCAGAGTCTCTGCTTGTGGGGAGCATACAGGGAGGGGTCTCCTTCAGGTACCACCCAGGTGGAGAGCTTGGGCTTACCCCGCCCTGCAGAGGGTCTCAGGTCTGTCACACCTCCCCGTCCTGTGACCTGTCCCCCCACCCCCGACAGAGGGCGCCCACCTTGGGGGGACTTGCTTCGAGCCTTCTTCTCCGAAGGGCAGTCAGTGCCGATGTGGGGGGAGCGGCCTAGCCTCTTGCCCAACAGGTCGCCTGGGGGAGGGTAGAGTGAGCCCCACCATGTACCTCAGGGTTGGGAGGGATGGAGACTGAGAGGAGCAGGGAGGGAGAGGGACAACCCAGGCTCACTAACTCCAGCCTCCGTCCCTGCCCAGCCCCAGGTCAGCCCAGAACCACACCCATCACTCCTCAGGGTGTCCGTGGGTCCTGGCCACATGAAGGCCCTGCCTAGCCAAGTCCCAGGCCTCCCGCAAGAGGACGGTGCTGGCCCTGGGCTCTGGGTGTGTGTGTGTGTAGATGTGATGGCAGATTTCTGGTAATAGCCTCAGGGCAACTCAGGACCCCACAGGCATCCTGCTGCCCCCACCCAGCCAGAGGGTTGTCCAGTGCAAGTGCCGGTCTGCTCAGCACCCTGCCAGAGAGGGAGAAGAGGCTCCTGATGCCACTCCCAGGACAGGGGTGAGGACTGCCCCACACTCTTCCTGCTCAGGGAGGCCTGGGGGGTGGGGTGCAGGAGCCGCCCCCTCTGTGACCCAGGGCCACCAGGACACCTCGGCAAAGAGGCACTGCCATCAGCTCCAGAGCCTAATTCCTTTTCCGTATTCCCTTAATCTGTCATTTTTATCAGCCCGGGAAGTGCGGCGCGATCAATCTCCACTTTACAGCTGACAGAATGGTGCTAATAACTTATTGATCTTGGCCACCTTGCTGCCACTGGCCCGTCCCGTGGCTCAACCCAGGCCCTGCCCATCCCTATCTCAGGGGCCTGGCAGGATGGGGGCACAGCCAGCATGAGGCCCCTGGAGAAGTCCAGTGGACAGCCCGGTGGCCTCAGGGCCCCAGGCAGGAGGGCTGCATGTCCGACTATGCCGGGCTGGGTCCACACCCCGACCCGCACATAACCCAGCGCTCTCACCTCCCCGTGACCTGCTTCCCACTGTCCACAGTGGAGCCCCCTACCCGCACCCCTTTCTATGGGGGGAAGGGGTCCCCCGTGTGGCGGCTGCATAAGGTCCTGCCAGGGGGTCAGGTGACTAGTCCGCGATAAGGGACACGTTTACGCAGGGACACAGCCTGGACCCAGAAGCAGGCAGCCAACCACAAGGTGCCGCCCCCACCAACCTCCCCCCCACCCCAGTCCTCCTGACCTTCCCACTCAGGTGCCAGGGCGGGGCTGGGGCTGTGGGGACAGGATTAGCAGGTGGCTTCTGGGGAAGAGCAGGTGAAGACAGGCAGGTGACCCCACGGCAGGGCCACAGGAACACAGGGAGGCAAAGGGTACTACAGCCCCGAGGAGAGGTCGAGACTGTGGTGAAACCTGGGCCCAGTGCACAGGTGGCACTTCCTGCAGAGCAAGGGTGACCTCGGCACAAAGTGGGAGTGAGGACACCCTGACCCAGGCACGCAGGGCCCCCAGCACCCCTGGCTGGGGCTGGGCACACGGGTGGTGCAGGCGCCCTGCTGTCCAGGGAGGGCCTGCTGGCTCAGAATATCTCAATCATCACGGGCTCTGGAGGCTCTGCCAATCGATGGGGCAATTAGATTTTATCAGCTGCCTGCTCAGCAGCCTCCAGGCTCCAGAAGCAGCCCCCACCCCAGGGCCTTCCCAGGCACAGGCATGTCGGGGGAAGCCCGGGGGAGGGCACTAATGGGACGCTCCGGGGCCCAGGATGCTGGCATCCCCTGCCCAGCCTCCCTGAGAACTGCAGCCACTGCTGGAAAATTCCCTGCCCAGGGCTCCTAGGATAGCCAGGGACCCTGCCAGCTCCTTGCCCAGCCCACAGCCCCGCCCTCGTCAGCTGCAGCTCACTCTGCCCCACCCTCTGCAGCCCCTCCCTCAAGAGCCACCCCTCCGAGGTGATCCCAGAGCTCCTGGGCCAGCACCTTCCTACCCAGTCTCCCTGCTCTCAGTGAGGGACCCTTCCCTCCTGGGACCCCGTGAGCTGTGGGGCTGGAAGGTGCTCAGTGCCTGTCATTTGCAGGTGTGCCTTCCTGAGCCGCTGTGAGGCCCGCACATCCCTGACCGTCCTTGCCTCTGTCTGCCCCTGTGAGCAGGGGTGACAGAGGCCTCGCTACTCCAAGCCCACCAGCAGCCGC